AGACTTCAAGCAAATTCCTGCTTGAAACTGATTTTGGTGGATTGGCACTCGATGTAATAGTTTTTTCCTATCTGTGATTGAGTATTTTGCTACAAAGAGATGCTAGCTGGCCATAACTCAATAAAATGATTATGTCAAATATAAATGTACTGCAAGCAGATTTTCCTTACATCCAGATCAGGGGTGAGTTGCTGCCAGTTTTACGCACTACACGCGTGTGCACTATTCAATGAAAATCGTTCTTTGTGCATGGGCAGAACAATTTACAGTGAACTGCGCATGTGCAGTCACTAAAATCCAAAATAGCATGGCCCAGCGGCAGTGAGGAAACCGATTCAGGAGTGTGGCCGGCCTGGGTCTCTACCGGTTCTGTGACTCAGGCCTGAATTCCACTACCAGTTCGGCCGAACTGTGAGCAACCCATCTCTGAGCCAGATGTGCCTCTGTGCAAGGCTCACTGAGATAACACTAGCAACTTAAAATGGTATCATGGACCATAGCTAACATTAGGCCAATTGATCCCATATGACAGAGATGTCAAACTGGCGGCCTGCGAGCCGGATGCACCACATGCAGACCACCCCCACCCGAGCTCCCCAAAGGCAAAAAAAATCACAATACATCACATGACATGATCAAGTTTGACACCCATGCCATATGACATGACTAATACTAGGTCAAGGCTCAAAAGCTGGTTTTACTATTTATTATTTGTGAAAATAATAGGCCGTGGCTAATTTGAGGTCATATTCCACAAGTTTGTTCTATTCTTTCTGGGAATAGGGGATCCATAAGTTTACTTTATTTGTAAAAGTGGAGGAGAACAGAACAACTTCTTTTACTTGGGAAATAAGTCATTTCAGAAAGGAAGCCAATAGAATATTGCCAGCAAGCTAAGTTAGTATTGCACTGAGACTTGTAATTGGACATCAGGTACCTTCCCATAAAGATCTATAATTGCCAAACTTAAAGAAAGGACAGCTAGTGTGTCAGCCAAGGAGATAAACAATGGACTTACATACTATTAAAACTTGGTTTGGGTGCCGTGGGAATTGCATCTACCTAAGGAGTCATACTTGCCTGCACAAGTCATTCAATCTTTGGGTTTCTAGCTTGGGGCTGATTTAAATTTCAAGACTGTGCAAACCTTATGATCAGGCCCAAAAGCTTAACAAAAAGCTTTTCTCAAATGTGCCTGAGTGAGTGGATGGCTTTATCTCAAAATGGGATGATTGCTATTGGGTGCTGCTAATCCATTTTGCTTATTTATTAAGTTTTGAATCCATTTTTTTTAAAGTTGAAGAAGGGCATTGCATAGGTTCTTTGCTACACATTAAACATTTTGGAAGTTCGTTCTTTCCTCCTTTCCACATCCCTCCTCTCTCTGCTTTAAATGAAAATACATTTCAAAATTCTATTGTAGTGAAATCCATGAAGCCACTTGGTAGACATTCTCTGAATAATGCTGGCAAGTAAGGATTTAGTGAAAGGAACAAGAAAAAGCCATGGAGTTGCCTGAAAGAAATAGGAGAGAAAAGCCATTCTTCTTGAAGAATGAGAACAATGTGGCTGCTTTCAACCACCTTCCCTCCTTCCAAACTATGGACATGGCTACCTGACGAAAAATAACACAGATGTTCCACCATATAGATATTGTAGAATGTCAAGCTACCCAAGAGTATATGATCACTATTAACATTAGAGTTTGCAGGGTTGGTAGAGTAACTTCTCAGCTGAACCTAGGTAAATAAAGATTTGCTAGTCATAACTATTATTTACAATTTTGTACTGAAATGTAAGCCATTCTACACCTACCTCTACTTTCATAGGAATCAGTTTGACCGTTTTGAGTTGCACTTCCTGGGACTCGTGCTTTATGGTGAGAGTACGGGTACAAGAGACAGATTCCGCTGGATCACAATGGTAGTTATCGATGTACATTCCAAAGTTGTGGATGGTGGGAACAATCTCTTCCACTAGGACATAGGTACAATTACCTTGGTAACTGTAGGCGAGGCCATCAAATGTCTTGTAATGTGGGTCTCCCCAGCCAGTGCAATAGCCTTCAGAAAGACAATAGAGTTGATTATTTGCTGGGAACTCCTATAAGTAACTAAAAGAAATGGCAAGGGTTCCTAATAGATTTTGAGAATAAATTAGTCTAGGAATCTAGAAAAAGTTGTCAAGAAATCTGTTATTGGAATTAAACATTGTCATTCTCATTTACAGAGATGAGCACAAATGGGATATTGAAATTGTCTGACAAATTTGGGAGCCAAAAACCTCTGAGTGGACAATTATTTGAAATTTCTCCAGAAGAAAGAGAAATTCTCACATTGCTTCTCAAGTACAGAATTATCCCCAAGGAGGGACAGAAGCATTTCAATGGGGGGGGGAAACACACTGGAAACTGTTATTTCCTTCCTTCTACTTTTTAAGCAAGTGCTTGGTAATAAGAATATGATGGGGGAAAAGTATTTTGATTTATTTAAATTGGTTAGATTTTCTAATCTAAGGTTTCATTAGGTTACGTTCATTTATTTATTTATTTACATATCTGCATGTATTCTTTTAATACATGCAGATATGTAAATAAATACAGATAAATTTATCTGCATCTGTTCTTTAAAAGACTGTTATTTGTTTCATTCATTAAGTTCATTTATTTATTTATTTATTTACATATCTGCATGTATTCCTTTAATACATCCAGATATGTAAATAAAATGCATTTTCATCACACCATCTCTTGAAACTGATCCCTGAATCTCTTCACTCCATGTTCAGTTTATAGGAATTAGCAGCTCTTTCAGGTAATACAGTATGTGCAATACAACACCAGTCCAATAGCTTGAAGCAGAGATGGGTTCCTACCGGTTCGCACCAGTTCGGTAGAACCGGTTCGTCAAATCTACCGAACCGGTTAGAAGAGGTTCCACCAGTGGACCCGGAAAGGAGGCCACACCTACAGAAGAGGTTCCAAAAAAATTTGAAACCCACCACTGGCTTGAAGAGCTCTCTTGAGCTTCAAGAGAACATCAAAATTGTTTATACAAATATATGTACTCACAGTCACATTCCCAGTGCGAGCAACATCCATCTTTATCCAATACTTCTATAGGAGCAAGGTTATTGGCACATGTGGGCTTAGTATGATTTTTGCACTTAATAGGGCGCATCTCCCATATGTTATCCGTGACACACACTAACTCGGTGCAATTACATATCCCTCCACTTTCTCCTGGCGGAACCTGAGACAACAGAGAAAAAAATGTATCACAACACTTTATAATCGTGACCAAACATGCAATATATGAATGGCTTAGAAGAACTAACTTAACAGAAAAACAGAGTTGCAAGGGATTTTGGAGATCTTCTAGTCCATCCCCCTCCTAAATAAAATAAATCCACTAAAAATATAATAACTTCTAGCT